CGTAAACCAACTCGAACAAAAAGTCTATTAAAGAGTTTTATACACTTGAGAGTAATACGAGGGTTAGTGGGGAGTGCTCGCTTGTGAAAGCACACAAGCTCGCTCGTACGAGCGTACGTCTCAGGTCTCAGGGGGTTTCTCCTTTGACTCCAGTCCTCCGTCGAACATCCGTCCGAAACAATTTTTGCGACTGTTTAGTGCTAGTAGGGAGTGTTTTATGAAAGGGTTGTAACCCTAACTAGCCGTGAACAGGTTCACGGCAATGAAATGGGAAACTTCCGGTCCAGAAAATTTATTAAAGAAGTAAGTAAAGTTTAAAGACAGGTCCTAAATGGGCCGAGAAACTGAATTACAGAAATAGATACATAAAAGCTGTAGACTTATAAATTATTACACATGATTAGCTTATTAACAGCTCCGACTGTTGTGGCGGTCGAGCTGGGAGTGACCGTGGTACGAAAACAAAATGAGAAAGTGAAGGAAGATGGAACAATTCAAATTTAAAATTTAAATACAAGTAAAATAAAATAAAAAAATAAGATACAAGAGGAGAGAGGCGGTACAAAGAGTGGTGAGATGACGGTGTAAGGAGGTCACACCGTCACAATTATATTAATTTTGTCACAGCCCTTTTTTTCCTCTTCTAATAAATTTTTGTGGACCGATTCTAAGGCTAGGTTACAGCTGTAACCACGGTGGAGCAACAGACGTTGGTACGAGTCCAGTTTTCATTGAAGGATTTTTTTTGTATTTATTTGTTCGATAATTGTATAAATATGAATAACAAACTAGAGGAGTATTTTCACAAAAAATACAATTATGTATAATATGGTCAAAGTCAATAATCATTTATTTCATAGGTTGAATAAATTTACACTTGAAAACGATACTGTTAAGCCACAGCTAGTTCACTATGCTAACGTCCCTGAAAAGAACAAGCAAGAAACTCTAGGGATTGCTCTTTTCAAATAAACTTAAATGCTATGGACTACACTTTGAATCAAATTTGAGTGGATTCTGGAGCCATGTCGTCTTTCCGTACATCTTCATCTAACACGTAGTCTTCAATTTTGTAATATGACTTTTCAATTAAAATATATTTTTAATGCAGGTTTTAAACTTAGGAAATACTAATCTTAATATGTATATGATCCGGAATCTTATTGCAAAAACGTATACAGTTCCCCATGAAAGAGTCGTTTGTCTTGGTTAAACGAAATCGTGGTACCACGAATTTGGACTTGACTCTAAGGTGAATATTATGGATATCCTCTTTTTAATGAAATTATGAATATTGTTAGTGAAACCATAACAATAGTGCAAAAATAACCACGGCGGTCATAGCAAAACAAATGAGAAAGAGTACAAGCTACCGATATCACACGATTACGGTTAACTGTTCCAAGGCAGACCAGCAACATGACGACGTCTGTTGCAAGGGAAGTCGTTCATTGGACTATCGTTTAAAAGTTAAATATACCTTCGCTTTACAAGGCAAAATACATTCGCGCTGCAATAATTGTCGCTTGGGATGTCGCTTAATAGTTTTTTGTCGATATGCACTGATTTATCTCCATAGGTCGAAAAGGGGTGTTCAACATATATATATATATATATAGACGTATAAAGCTACGAGAAGCGACAAAGTTGTTGAAACCACAAAATATTACTTAATTATTTTTTCGAATTCCGGATTTCCGGAAATGGTTTTACTGCATCGTAGGACAAACTATTTACCTAGGAAGTCGAAGTTGGATTTTAAAATAATTCTATTGGTGTCATGTAAATAATGCAGTAGATTAGCTTTTACCAAAACAGAGAATAAAAAAGTAACCAGAATGGTCACTCTCCGCCCCTCCCTAGCTTTAGATACCGCTTACTGACGGTCAAATTGCCGGAACCAAGACATTTGCTAGTAGAACTTTAGAAAAAATAATAATTTGAAATTTTACTTACGAGGGGAGTTTTAGAACCTTTTAGTTTGCATGAGAATCCTGATCGCGCTTTAAAAATATTTTAGTTCAATTAAAAAACATAGTAGTAAAGTAGTAAACACACACATGTTGGTAAATTCGAACCACTAGCAGAAATGTCGTATTTTAAAAAGAAAATATTCACACTGGATTATTTTAATGCTCATTATACAAAAAAAAAAATTGTTGAACGCTTAAACACGACGAAAAAGTGTAGTACGGCTATCTATCTTCATAAATAGAATAAAGAGAGAATTTTCTTTCAGTTATTAACATTGACTTACAATTATATGGACGTCGGGTCCGCGCTAAAAAGTGTCCGAACTTATAGGGCGTTAAAATCGTATACAGAGCGTTATTAACGCTTTAGTCTTCGTTTGTTTCTTCTGACAGCGAAGCAAGCAAATTTAGACAGTACTGCGATGACATTACAATTTAAATTCAACGTTTTAGCTTTTTCATATTCCTTTACATGTCACTACGTTTAAATAGGTTGACTTGAGACATTTTTTTCGTGGTCTTTGTATTAGACCCGTCGTCCATTTATTTGTAAGTCAATGGTTATTAATTAATATTTGGTGGTTTTAAAAACTCTATGTCGCTCCTTGTAGCTATATCTATGTATGTGGAACACCTTTTTCCGACCATTGTTTATCACCCAACTCATCCATTATTACTTCATTGAAACCGAGTCTTTTTAGTTGCTTGAAACCTCTACCTAGGGTAATTTTTTAAATACTAACAACTTCCCAGGACTATATAACTAACATATTAAACAACAGCTTTTGTTCCACGACTTGTAATAGTCCACCAAATTTTACTTTCATTCAAAAAGAAAAATTATTAAACAGCATGTTTTTAAATGATCATTCTAAATTTGCAAAAGCAGCAGGCTAAAAATCTTTTTTGTCTGAGACATAAAATGAATTAAACCAATGCATACTTTTATCCGTTCTGAGCTAATGTTTGATTTGTATAAATTAACTGCGATATGAAACCAGAAACCATGTCTGGAAACGCAAGCAAATTCGCTTCCGGCACTCGCCGGCCGCCGCTGCGACTCGCTCGGCTCGTGCTGCTTTTTCTGATGCATCATTATTGAAGACGATTATTTACTTGGAATATAAATAACAACCATAACGACCACTTCGCCGGGCGCTTTCGTCAAACGCGCGACTGCATCGATGCAATCGCCTACAAATCCCAAGTGGTTACCTATCAGAAGTCCGAAATGACATTTTCCAGAAATAACCTATCAGAAGTCCGAAATGACATTTTCCAGAAATAACCTTTGCTCGAATTTTCATAACCACGAAAGTAATTTTGAGAGGAAAATGTTTTTTTCTTTTAAACCCAATTTAACCTTTTTTTTCTTTTTTTACCCGGAGAAATACGTTACGCATACCCGAACCTAATCGTGTCTTTGCGATAAATATCCAACATATCCTGAAAGAAAAACGATTTCGTTACAATTATAAGGTTTTCGGGGTAATGAAAATTCGAACAAAAGTTATTTGGAAAAAAAGAAATTCGAGTTTGTGATAGGTTACCATCCGAAGTGTAGCGATGCAATCGCGCGTTTGTGCCGATGCAGTCGCGCGCTTGCGTTGCGTTTGCATCGCTGCTTCAAATCACGCGCGTGTGTCAAGTTAACTGCCTCTGTGGCCGAACGGTTACCGTGCCGGACTGCCACGCAGAGGTCCCGGGTTCGATTTCCGGGCCGGGAGAAGTATTTGTACAGCCATCATTTATTTCTCTCATGAGTTTGGGTGAAATTTGCGGTTGTCTTTGTGTGTCCAAGGCACCCGCGACACAGGGTTTCCCTAGTGTATGCGTTATTAAAAAAAAAGGTAGACGATTAGCAACTGCGTCGCTACTGCATCGCGTTTGCGTCGATGCTAAAAGTCGCCTTGTGTAATCGCTCTATGAGTCTTTAATGACCAAAATCGTTTACAAGATCCACGGGCCCGGTTTACGTAACTTACGTAAACGTAAACGTTTTTAGTACTTTTCATTAGTAGGTTCAACAGATTTAGTGGATAAGGCACAATGTATCGAGTTCATAGGTTTTACCATTGCTGAAACTATTTCTTTTTCGGGCCGATTTCAATGCAGCATTATTATTTTTTCTCCAATTTCGGTACAACTCTATTAGGGAAGGAAATTATTGGCTATTATCCCTTCAGTCGTCGTATCGGGGTCTATTAAAGGCGGCCAGGTCTAAATGCGTCTGCGGTTAGGCATTACTTTTATGCAAATCCTGCTGCTATAGCTGGCAGTCACGAAAGAAGACATGTACACGTCTTTTGCATCAAACGCCCGACCGTTCTACACACGACAGCGAGCTACGTGCTGCTATACGGTCTACTTCAAGAGGGAAAGAGACAAAGAAAGCCATTTGAATAAAGAGTAACGTAGAGAAATGGATTAATGATGATGGTACGAAAGAGTAAGGTAACACGTCTAAGTGCTGTCAAGTATTATTCACAGTACTCAAAGCGGATAGAAAAATTTAAATACAACTTTGACCTCTACACTACAATCTTCATTGTTGATTCGTAAAAATATTCCACCAATGACTAAACAAATAAATTGACGTAGACACATTCTTTTAGTGTACATAGTAATTTGTTTTAGTTTATAATATTTCATTTAACATTAAGAGCGGTCACACACTATCCCGTATTGAAATCGAATCAATAACGTCCTGCGACATGAGCTGCAGTACTAAGTTCGGGCTCTCGCGGCATGGTGCGAACATCAGGCACGGAGAAACTGCTCACCGTGAGAAAAATCTCAAAGAATGTCTTTTTTGAGATTTTCCTCAACTTTAGTAACTGTCGTTACAATGCCGTGTGACATAAAAACAATGCAAACATAGTTACGTACACGTATGTAATTTAGCGGCAGGAGTATTGTGACATTTCGACTTATAAACGTGGAGTAACGCCCCTTGTATTTTCTAACGCAAGTGTGTTTCTGAACAAATGAAGTTAAACAAGTAAGTATATTATGTGATAGACTAACCTCGCTCCCGTCCTGTTGAGCATTGCACTTGCTGATGTTGAGCGTGCCCGATATGAAGTCGTTCTGCACGTCCACGATCAGGAACACACTCACCGGTCGGACAATCTGCACCAAGACACGCGGATATTGTCAACATTTTTATGTGAGTCCTACGCGAAGTCACATGGTCTAGCTTACAATGTTAAAAAGACAGTGTACATGGTCTTTAAGGCGGGAAACAAGTGCCCTACTTTTGTACCACCCGTGTTACTCAACGGTGTAACTCTTAAAAGAGAATTATAATTTAAATATCTTGGGCATTTGGTGACCGAGAATCTTAGGGACGATGCGGATATGGAAACCTGCGCTCCCGGCAGTGTCAGTCCGGGCGAACATGTAGGTTCGAAGGTTTGCTAGATGTACGGATACAGTGAAGATAACATTGTTTAAGGCGTTTTGTATATCACTGCACACGGTAAGTTTGTGGTTCAAATATACCCAAAAATCGTATAATGCTCTGCGAGTCCAATTTAATAATGCAGCTCCCGCGCTTTTGCAGCGCTTCGGGCATGTTCGCAGATGCGCGCGTGGACGGCTTTGATGCTGCCTCGCTGTTGAACAGAATGCGCGAGAGCTGTAACGGCATCCTGAAAGCGATAGCTGATAGACCTGATTGCCCGATGATGTATACACTCGCACAGAGGCCATTTTCATTGTTAGTTATTAAGTATTAATCTAGGATAACCTCTACGAACATTAAAATGGACCTTAAATGTTGTCTGAAGTAAATAAATTATTATTTACAACAATCACAACGTTCGCGCTGTGTTACAGTAATCGGATTACAAAGATTCATAAAACAAATCGCCGCCTTACTTTCTCAAGCTCGTATCTTAACCGCAAAGTAACTGAAATGCAAAAAATGCATTGTATATTACAAATTTGCAGGCTGATTTTACATCGCGTTTCCTTCATATTCACACACTGGCTTTAACGTATTCTTAAAGTAATGCATCTAAATTAAGACCCTTGATAAGAAATTTAAAATGAATATAAATTTTTACCCTGTCCTGAACAATCACTCTTTTGCAAGATACGAGTATGAGAAAGTAATGCGACGAAACAGTACAATCGATTTTACTGTCTGTAGACAGTGGGTTCATTTCTTTTATTTAGCTCTTTATGTCACTTGTTGTGGACGACTTAACAAGACTGATCGAATAAAGAAAACCTGGGTCAGGATCTGCCCTTTCTTTTCAGAGTTAAATATTTTATGGACCTAATTCAAAAGGTGCACTAGATCTTGTGATCCTTCGAGCCGGATTAAATTATGAAATCTGCAACTAACCACTTTGATCCAGTGGTTCCAGCAAAAGGTAAATTCCTCCTTGTCAATGTATCCGTCACCGTTCTTGTCGAACACCTGGAAGATGTGTCTGGCGCGCTCCTCAGGCAGCGGATAGATGTGGCCCTTGTCGTTGCGGAACAGCGCTTTGCAGATTAGGCGGAACTCGGCGAAGTTCAACTTTCCGTCCCTGCGATAGCGTAAGTAAGTACATGATATGATACAGTATACGTGACAGGCGTGAAATAAGCAGCCGACGGTAAAAAGTGTATAGAGGGGATGTTTGCAAATTCAGATTTCTGAGAAAATTCATTATTTTAAGATAATTGTTTTATTAAACTCTATTTTTAACCGAAAGGAGGAAGTTCTCAAGTCGACAGTTTTATTTTTTTTGCGTATGGCCCACGATCACTCCGCATGAACCGATTTTGATGATTATTTTTATCAGTATTGGTCACATTTAAATTTGAAGAAAATATTCCATCTCTAAGGGTGGCAAACTATGGGATGAATCCGGTTTCGAGCACTTTCTGGTAACCGATTTCAATAAAACTGGGCAAATGTACTTCCACGAAGTTTTGAGGTCAGTTTTTTTATAAAAAGTTATAGTGTATTCCCATAATGTGCTATAGAAAATAGATTTATTATATTTAACAATAAAATAATCAGTAGTTATAAATTAATGGTTACCTACATAAAAATAATTATGAAACAACTGCTAGCAAGTCCTCTGTTTCATTGTAAGTTTTACTCTTAAGCCACAATATAATGGAAGTGTCCAACATTTTCACTAATTAGTAAAAATAACGCAAATCTATTGTTTATTTTTTATTTCAAAATACAAAGAAGAGAATGAATAACGTTCTAATTAACTTAGGCACTGGCATACAACATTTTTGTAGCAGTAGAGCTACATGTGAAAAAGTTTGTCCAAGAAAGTACTGTCACCTTACCTACTCTGCCATCAAGCAATGTGAGCATTACAGGCATAGGGGACTTGTCAACTTACGTCACAGGGTGTCGGGCGCATTGGCAGTACCCTTTAGATCTTTATGATTTAAAGCTCCGAGTGGCACAGCAACTGTTAGGGACACAGGGACAGACCTGTGTTGCTTACCACCAGGCATGCAACTGTCCTGTCTCTAAGGGTCTTATTCCAGAGCTCCACTCTATGCTCAAGTCAGGACTTGAGTATGATTTCTAGCACTGCAAATACGGCTCTAATGGCAAAGACTTGAGTATGATTTCTAGTGCTTTAGATCATACTCAAGTCCTGACTTGAGCATTGGGTAGAGTTCTGGAATACGTACCTAAGTGTAATCAAAACATAGGTTACTATACTTAAGTCCCTATATTATGGTCTTCATCATCAACCCATTTATATGTTCCACTGCTAGGTACGGGTCTTCTCTCAGGCGAGTGTTAGGCTATAATCTCCCATGTTGGCCCAATGCGGGTAGGGGATTTGACGTTTTCTGAGGGTTGTGAACCTTCTTCAATAAGCAGATTTCATCATGATGCTTTCCTTCACAGAAAAGCTCGAATTTCAAATTAAATTTCACATAATAAATTCCGAAAAACTCAGAGGTGCAATCCCGGATTCGAACCCACAACCCTCTGTTTGAAAGACGACAGGTCAAACCATTAGGCTACCATGGCTTTTTATGATCTCTAAATTACGGTCTCTAAAATATGGCCTAGGAAAACTAGCCACTTGTTGAACGAGCTGGCTGCCCTTACTTTAGGGCTAAGGATAATCTTACATCATGGTCATTGACTTACAAATAAATGGACAACGGGTCTAATACAAAAATCATGAGAAAAATGTCCCAAGTCAACCTATTTAAACGTAGTGACATGTAAAGGATTATGAAAAAGCTATAACGTTGAATTTAAATTGTAATGTCATCGCAGTACTGTCTAATTGTGCTTGCTTCACTGTCAGTCCAACAAACGAAGACTAAAGCGTGAATGACGCTCTGTATACGATTTTAACGCCCTATACGTTCGGACACTTTTTAGCGCGGACCTGACGTCCATATAATTGTAAGTCAATGATCATGATACATAAAATATACAGACAAAATAAAACCATAAGATTGCAAAATAATATTCATGAATCCCAGAACCATTGTATTGTATTTTGTTCTATATTTTTGATGCGTACTTAGAAGATGTTTTGTAAGTGTGAGTAAAAATAAAACTTGTTTTGATTTGTGGGCTTTTATTATCTATATCTATGGCCTTTTATTTATTACCTATATTACAGGTATTATCTGCTCTACCTATTCCGATTTTTGGTGACATAATATAAAAATTTTACTTTTGTGTTACATTTTCATAGAATGTAACAATGTGAATAAGCTCTTGTTCAAGCTGTTATTGCAGTGCATCATTGCGATGGGTACAATATTCAACATTGTTCAGCACCATCTTTGGACTTCATTGTTTGAAAATTAATTTTTGCACTTACTTAGCTTCACTGGTCCCAGCATTCCTAAATTAAAAATGAAAAAAAAAGTCCAGGCATCAATCACACCACTTCCAAATTTTATTATGATTTCAGTAACATGCCTGTGTAATAGTTTAGGATAAATTCAAAAGTGTAGCTATAAACAAGAACGTCATCCACAAAGGTGCTATTTGAAAAAGTAACAAAAAAGGACAAACTAAACTTTTTGATTATATTTTTATTGAATTGATATTCAATTATTTTTTGTGAAATTACTCCACTAGTTTGTTATAATTATTAATACAAAGACCGAACACTCAGAAAAAACACTCAGAAAAAATTCCTTCCATCCAACCGGATCGAAGGAATTTTTTCTGAGTGTTCGATCTTTGTATTAATAATTAAACTTTTTAAATTATGTACAACTCAATCCTTAGACTGAAACAAATAAGCTAATTAAGTAATTTAAAATACCAGCCAGTATGTCGCTACACGTTGTTAGCGATGATTTCGCACGCCACTTTCAGAAAAAGTTTTAATTCATGTATCAAGTAAATGAGTAAAAACTAATAACATCCACTGTTTGATGAAAACAACTTTCCAACAAACTTATTAATTTTACAGATAGCGCAATAACATGTTTCCAAATTTGAAAACTCGAGTGGAATGACTCCAAAAAAAAAAAAGTTACTTCACGATCACTCACCCATCTTTATCGAAGGTTTCATAGCAGGCATCCATATCGAACAAATAGGACTCGTCGACTGGGGCACCGTTGGCAACCTCCGACATCGTCGGTTGGATCGAAATGAGCTGCCCGCCGCACACCCGCTCCTTTATAAGCCGGTCCAGCATAGTACCGATGTCTCTATACGCTAAACGCTTAAGTTCCAGTTTCTCTCGTATTTCTGCCCTTACTTTGTATTGATTACAACCAGCTTTCACAGTCCATTGGGATTTTTTCAGTATAGTAAAAGCACACTTTTATTTCATAATTTTGTAACGAATATTACGAAATCGTGTGAAAGTAAACATTGCGCGAAAATTGACTAACAGACAGAACAAGATTTGACATGAACGAATGACGTCACACGTCAGAATGACTCGAGAATTGACAATGACAGAAGTCTTTTCCATTCACGCAGAATAATGAATTTCTTTCATTTTTTCCTTTATGGACATAGGCGTCGCGTCGTAAAACAATACTATTGGATTAATTTTACGAAAAATTTAAGTAATGAAATTATTTTTCCAGAAAATGTCTTAAAATTGAAAAAAAATTGATAAATATGTATAATTCGAAGGATGTATTAGTTCTACGTTGAGATATCTTTTGAAGTTTTATTTAGCGTAAATTTAAAAATACAATTCTGTAGCTAAAGTTAGAGTAAAACGAGATCTAAAATTATAGGACAATAGTTTTGTAAGTAATCTGATAGCGAAAAAAGGAAAAGTAAAAGAACTATAGGGTCGTATTCCAGAACTCTACTCAATGCTCAAATCAGGACTTGAGTGTGATTTAAATCGCAATCTCTTTTGTAATTTCTAAATACAAAATGTACTACTATAATTATTTAATACCTATACTCTCCATATTTTTATATTATAGTCTTTGTTAAGTAACAATACCAACGGCGCTGCTATCACCGAAACTTGTTATAGTCTTCCGTTAGGCGCCATCTATCCGGCTTAATGTGAACTGCTAACAAAACACACAACAATGTACCACATTCTTCTGTTATAATTGAATAGGTAATCTTAGAAGATAATCCAGCGGTTATTCAGTTATATTTTTGTTAGAGAATACATTATGTGTTCAGTAATTTGTATATAGTAGCTGCAAACATACAATATTAAAAAGTTACACTAATTCGCAATGCATGCGTCATCTAGTTGACGGCCAATGTGAAAACGTCCATTGTATTTGAAAGTAAGGCGACCCTTGAACCTTGGTACTCCTTATTTCACCGTATTTACGTTAGGTAGCGTTGTACGCATTTTCACCATGTATGTTTGTAATATTGTATTTTAAACGGACATTTTTTTAATGATTGATTTTTTTTCTCTGAGACCTAAATAAATTAAACCGATATTTTGATCTGTTCTGAGCTGCGCAAAAATGTTCGATTTCTATAAATTAACTTAGATAGTTTTATGTTTTAGTTTTAAAACATAGTTTTAAGCATTTAAAATAAAATTTAGATACTTGTTTATAAAACTAAGTAAATGTTGATTATATTTGTATATTAATATTATATTAGTTGTAAAATAATTTGACCTAAAAACATGTTCGGAAACTCAAGAAAATTGGCTTCTGCTATTTCATATGCTAATTTAATGAAAGGAGGGCACAACAAAGCAACTAAGATTTATTAAGAGATCAATATCAAAAGATATACTGGTTATAAATGTCATTAAAAGAAAATACCCATAATCCAGGGTTGGGCAGTATTTGAATGACTTGTAATTGAAACACGTATTTAAAATACAAATACTTATTTTGTATTTGTGTTTCAATTACTCCCTAAAAATGTATTTTGTAATTGTTATTTCAAATATCTGACCGTAATATATTTTGTGATTTGTATTTCAAATACTTTCGTCGTAAAATACATTTTAACAAAATACTTTTTTTTCAACGTACAGCCTATTATGTGATGTGCATAGAGATGGGTTTTTACCCAATAAATATCCATCTAAGGATAAATATCGGATAAATCCGTATTTACTGAGTATTTATCCTAAAATATGGATAATAATTTTTTTGCGTTTTTTATAATAAAATTCATTACAATTAATTTTTTATTAAATAATTACGTTTTTGCCATTCTTTTATGTAACAATACTGTTCTGCATACGCTTTTCGAGTCGAGTGGTATAAAAAATTCGAAAGACAGAAAGTTATCAAATTAACTGTAACCCTTGAGCTGACCTATCCTGCGTTAATAAAGTGCGACCCAACTTTATGGTCTTGAGGTCTACTGCGTACTAAATAAAGGCACGTTTGGACTTGAAACAGCCTAAGAATTCTCTTGAATTAGCCTAAGGATAAAAAAGAAATGTTTATATTTGTGTACTTTTTTGTGTATTTTATATCGAGTAAAAATGGATATTTATCCTGAGTATTTATCCCATGACATTTATCTATGACGTGTATAGATTTATAGGATATTGAACTCAATAGTGACGTATGTGTGTATTAGATATGAGAGCCGCGCCGCCGCGCCGCCGCGTTATTTCTCGCGTCGCCGCTTCCGACAAATGCAATTGGTGCACCGTTCAGTTCGATCAGGCGCTGCGATCGTAGGCACGCGCACGATTGTATATGTGAAAATAGTGACGCCAGAAAATGACTTTTCTAAGATAAAACTTATTTTTTTAAATAAAATGTAAGTTCTCATTTGACCCCACCTCACCTGATGGAAAGTGACGATGATTGCCTATTCACTTTTGCCATGAAAAGGCCCAAGTTATAACATTCAGGGAACAAGTCTGCCGTTGCGCATTGCACAACTAGCGGTTGCCACCGCTAAGCCGTCGACTCTGAGTCCACTACCAAATCTCCTAATTGGTGTCGGAGCTGTAAAGCGCGCTCTCTTCCCGACACCGAAAAACGACGTCTCTCCAGTTCACGATAACCTAAGCGGCTGGAGGGACCGGAGGATATCTAGCTTATTCTCTACTAGCTACCCATAAACCCCAGCGAGTCTATACCCAAGTCCAGGTCTACCAGAGACGCCAACGCAAAGGCGTATCACTGGTGGAAGAACCAGCCCAGACCAGTCGTTTTTCACAGGGTTCCGAATTCTCCACAGTCACTTCTATCATCCAGTCTTGGTCGATCTTATAGTACCCGTTCAAGTACCCGTGCTAACCAAAGTCGTGGTCGATCATCATCTATTTGAAGCCATACTTCTGTTCTATCTGGTAACGGTCATGATCAGAAAGGCGAAGTCGTTCGGCTGACGCACCGTCACCACATAGATAAAGGAAGTGAAGGAAAATGTCATATGATGATAGGGATCAATTGTGGTAGGTACCCTTCGTCTCGCCCTTGGACTGGAACTTACCGCACACTCTTTGATTATTTTCTTAAGTATTTTGACGACGAATCGACGAAAAAGATCTCGATTAGTTAGTATTTTCCGTTCATTTATAATAAGTTCATATTTTGTTATATTTCATGTGAAACATGTGATAAACTTCAAGTTTCATTAATATAGTTGATTTTGTTGCTTTATAAGTCGCCTTTTATTCAAAATTTTTATTAAGTCATAAAAAAACGTTAATGCTTTGATAAGGTTCATGACGGGATGCCATGATCGTGCGGGAGGTTTTGCAAGGGTTTTGGGAGAGGAGATTTTTTGTATTTATTTCTTGTTATTAACGGCATAAATGCTTAAAGAATGCGACATCAAATCCAATCACAACAAATAATTTTCTCGTGCTGAATGGGATAAGCTTCTTGGCATTGGATTCAATTGACAACCATTGAATCCAAGGTGGCCAATTGGTATATAGCAGAGTCATCCTAAAGGTGGCAGCAGTACTCCGAGCACGACCGGATTTGTGCTTGGTACAGCTGAAGCAACAGTCCCGGTGTGAAGTAACGCCTAATCCTGGAAAGGATCCCAAGCTTCTTTGCAGCATGTTTGGCCATGGATTCAACGTATCTGCCGAAGTACAAATTGGACGACAGGACCATTCCAAGTAGCTGGAGACAGTCGCCTATCGGTATGAATATATCACGAAAAGTCGGAATCAGCTCAATGGGACTCCGTTTTGTGGAGAATAGACACGCCTGCGTTTGGAAGCGTTAAATTTGACAAGATTGGCATCGCCCCAATCGGAGACTGACCTGTGTGTCAAATCCAAACGTCTAACCATAGACTCTCGACAAGACTGGATTTCCTCTCCACTGACCTCTGCATTGGTCAAGTACCTACAACTGTGTTGTAATCAGCATACGCAAAGGTACCTGGAATTAACATATCATTGATATGCCGTAGAAAGAGAGTTCTGACGGAATCCTGAGGAATCTATCGCCATATGTTCGGAAGAGTAGCCTTCTAAGACCTTTCGAATCGAACGTTCGCTCCAGAAATCCGAGATCCAGTTGCAAAGTGGGAAGCCAATAAAAGGGAAGCTTACTTAAAAGGTTTGCGTGCCAGACCCTGTCAAAGGCTTTAGAAATATCCAAAGACACTGCAAGTCATTCAACTTGCTTTTTTATAGCCTCGCTCCATTGTGACAGGCATACACAAGAAGATCCCCAGTTGATCGCCCTCATCGGAATCCGTACTGGAGATCACTGAAGAGGTCGTTGTTTTCAAGGTACGACAAGAGACGGTTGTTGAGTGCACGTTTCAGTGTTGTAGAGTATGGAAGTGACTGAGATAGATCTATAGTTGACAGAGTCAGCGCTTCTTCCCTTCGTCAGCACAGGTTGCACGTTTGCAAGCTTTCACGACCTGAGAACTGCAACAGTCTCAAGTGAGAGGCGGTACAGGCGTGTGGGAACAGAAGACAACTCAGGCGCATGGTTATGTAGGACTAGTGCTGAAATTCCATCTGACCCGCTGGCTTTATTCACGTCTAGATTCCGCAGAGTTCTAAGTACCTCGTTTTAATATATATAGTGTAGCCAGCCTGAGGTAAGATGAGATCTAGAGGCGAACTCTTTGCAAAGAGTGAGGCATTGAGGAGACAAAGATTTGCCTTGTCTTCTGCAGTATAGGCCAGCGTGCCGTCCGGCCTCAGCAGAGGTGACATAGATAGGCGACAAAAGATAGTGACTTTATATTTAAAGATGCTTCGTTTATAAAATTAATTTGTCAATTTCTGGCGTCGCCATTTTCACTACGCATACACAATATGGAAGCGTGCGTACGATCGGAGCGCCTTATCGAACTGATAAAAATTTGATTACTATAGAAAACACGTTATTTTATTTTATCCTTTGGAAAAGTAATTCTGTATCGGTTTTTGTAAAAACAAACACCGATATACAAATTCGTCGCTCATGTCTAGTGTGTATGCGTGCGTGCGTGCGTGCGTGCGTGCGCGCGGGCGTGTGTGTGTCAGTTTTTTCTAGTACAACTTTTCAAGATATGTATTGTGGAAGGAAAAAACTTTGAAGGAAATAGTGGGTTTCCAAATGTCGCGTGGTAAATATTAACAAGGTATATTAATAAAGTATTTTGTATTTTAATAAACCCCACGAAAGTATTTTGTATTTTTAACCGACTTCAAAAAATGGAGGAGGTTCTCAATTCGACTATACGTTTTTTCATTTTGTATGTATGTTACGCGATAACTTCGGTATTTGAGCACCGATTTACATGATTCTTAGCTGCAGTGCCACTCAGCTCTTTTGATCGCAACGATATGAGGCGCATGGCACTGCGCCCGTCACTCTGAGATATAAGTTGACAAGTCCCGTGGGTGCCTGTAATTTCACCAGCACCCGTTCCAAACCGGAACACAGCAATGCTCACGTTACTGCTTGGCGCAAGAGCAAGAAATAGGTAAGGTGGCAGTACTTCCCTGGACGAACTCTTTCACAAGGTGCTCTCCTGCTCCTGAACGTCGTAACTTGCAACAATCGGTATTGACGGTATTGATCTTTCGAACGATATGCCGACAGGGTAAAGTCTAAACAATATTAACAAATAGGAAATGAAACTATTTTTCCGGATTTAAATCGCGTATATTTGTTTTTTCAAACAAACGCCGCCGACGGTTGACTTTGTATTTTTGTTGCTGACGTTTTGAACCTGCTTAGAATGGCCGTCTAAATGCAATAAATAATATTTTTAGTTTCATTAATTTCATACATTAGAAACCTCAAATAACCAAAAATAATAAATAAAGGGGATATTATTATTTTATCCTCAAAGATATAATTGATCTACTGTAAATATTCACTTTTTTAGAGCTCCTTGTGGACGAGATCGTCCAGGGTAGTATTGCCACCTTACCTATTTCTGCCGCCAAGTGCTAATGTCAGCATTACTGTGTTCCGGTTTTGAAGGGTACCTAAGGGTGCTGGTGAAATTACAGGCACAAGGGATTTGCCAACTTACGTCTCAGTAAGTAGTGCCCCTCAGATCTTAGCAATTTAAAGCTCTGATTGGCACTGTAACTGTTATGGACAGGCGTGTAGCTTGCCATCAGCCGTACGACTTGTTGGTCCCGTCACTTGATGTTATAAAAGAAACCGAAATTTTACTGAAGAGACCCGCTGGATCTCTAAGGATCCTGTAAAGTTTTAATTTATTCTCGCGGTGCTATAATTTCTCATTGATTTTCGATTGGTACATCGTCTGGGGTATATGTACTGTTGATCACCGTTATCATCAGCATCATTACCGTCCACAACATCATCGTCATGATCACTACAATCATCACCACCATCATCATTGTCACCACTGTCATCACAACCACTATCAACATCTAATTGTTATATTTCAAGTAAATGTGTAGCTTATAGTAACTGTTTGACTTAAAAGTAGTCAAGATTGAGAGCGACAATAATGATATTTGGATACATTTTTAATTGTCAAATGTGTAAAATATGCTGGGCCATTTATAAAAGTGTATGGATTTTAAAGTTCCCTTTGTCTAATTGATGTACAATAAAGTTTATAAAACTTTTACTTAATACTTATTTAGATAGATTGGTTTACATGAATGAGAACGATTTAATCACTAGCGCTGAAATTGGTATTTAAGTCGATTTATTGCTAAAACGGAGATGCACAGGTTACTTCTCTGTGTACACTTCAATCCGACAGGAGCCCCTTCTCACGTGTGCGAAGGGTGAAGGTGACGCGATATGAACTTTTGTTATTAGGAGGCCTTTAGTTGAATTGACACTAATGATAAGAAAAATAGAAACACATTTAAAAATATTGCGATTTCCACGAGTGTTTAATTTTTTCTTCTTTTCTTAAAATTAGGGCGACGTGGAGCCGGCTCCTATGAATGAGAAATTGACCACTTTTTAATTTTTATTTATTACTGTGGCGTAGTAAAGTAGTCTTTTCATGTATAACACAGACTAAGCAAGCAAGCAATCATATTAAATAAATAAAGCTTAGCATTCATGTAATGACATAAAAGTTATTGAAAGGGACACATTTTTGGAGGTTATCTGAAAACGACCTTAAAAGGTTTCACATGGACCCTCAAATTCGCTTTAGACGACGGCGACGTCGGCTGGCGCCCTTATGAACGGGCGCCTGATGTGGGGAGGCTCTCTCCAGCGTCAACACGGATACACAAATAGCGTATTTTCCTCTTCATAGATAGGTCTGGTATTCAAAATTGGACTAAATTAGTAAAGGTTTAAATAATAAAATGACAAGTTGGTTTAAAGTGCAATTCCGTGCAGCTCTTCGCACACCAATTATCGTCGTATTGAAATTTAACATTTCTGTAAACTGGAATAGGGTTTTCGTTGGCGCGGCTCACACAGCGATGTCCTGAGAGGTGTACTCTATTGGTGGAAAATTATCCTACATACGCCTACCTAACACTTACCCCCAACCACCCGGGCGGCACGTCCCGACCCAGACGCAGGCGGCACATCGAGTCGTGCAGTGCTGGCTGTCGTAACCGCGCAGCTCTTCCGAGCTCTCATAGGGAATTAAAAGTTAAAAAAAGAAGTTTTATGGTATTGCTTTCTCAGTGATTCCGCGTTCGCGAAATTTCAACTTCGATCAAGCCGTCGGCCGACTTCCTAAAGTAAGTACAATTAATTTATTGCCCTGTCTTTTTTTGCAGCAACGTGCACTTTCAGCGCAATGTAAGTAATTACAATATATTTGTATTTGGCAAGGCGTCTTCCTCATCATTATCCGGCTCATCTGGACTCATATCTTTGCTAATAATTTTAATTATTTGTATGAAAAAGCAATTGTCATTTTTATGTAGTTTCTTTATACTGGCGTATTTATTTGATTTGTTTAATTTTTAAACGGATTACGTTATAATTTTATTAAATATGTATATAATACTTTGTTGTTCTTTTGTCGATATTTATAGTATATATACTGTGGCTGCTGTTTTAATGTGGAAATATATTTGGCGAAGTTTTTTACCTCTTGTTTCTAATTAATATTATGATTATTGTACGATTTGAAAATTCGATAATTCAAATTCAAATTCAAATTCAATAAAATGAAAAAAATTGATATATTTTGCGAATTAAACAGTTAACGTGTTTTTAAATTCGTTAAGATCTGTCTTTGTCACAAAAGTAAAAAAATACAAAATTAAAAAAATACAAAATCACTACGTGACTACACTACTACATTAATCACTTAAAAAACTATATTATTATTTAAATTAATAAATTACTATATAAATAAATTATTAAATTACTAAACTGCGAAAAATACAAAACTACGAAATTTCTAAACTACTAAACAACTGAACTACTAAACTGCCAAACTTCTAAACAATTAAA